TCCCTTGGCCTTCTCAAAGGTTTATGACTGAAAAGATAGTTTAAGCTACTCTGGAAAAGTGTTTTAGTCAAAGGGATAGTTGTCCAATTTGAGAATATATAACTAGGCCAGTGCTTTATTTTCCTGGGAAGATATATTTGCATTAGGAGCTTCTAACAAGAACTGCAGAGATGTCAGATTGATTACTTTCATGTGAGATTGATTACTTTCATGCAAAGGGAGATAAAGGAGTATCATACAGTATTATTTATTCAAGTACATATACAATTGGGCACTGAATTCAGAGATGGTACAACATAAGAACTTTGAACTAATTTTGATTTTTTTTAAAAAATAAGACTGATGTGTCGGATCTTGTTAAAATTGCAGCAATAATAAACCAACTCTGTTCCTTCTTATTAAAAAAACCTGTTATTCACTTATGCATTTATATGATATCAGTGTTTCATTATAATGTACTGAAATATTTCCCCTTACATTCTTCTCATTCTTCACTCACAAAACTATTGAATCGTTGATTTAACATCTACAAATGTAGTAATTACAACCCGAGTGAAGTAACAACAATGCAAGGATGTAGCTCATTGGAGGAGACTAGAACCTCCCTCACAGGGATGTTGTTTCTCTGCCACTGGATGCAGAAATCCGGGTCATTCCCTGGATGTTCCCCTTTGTCATTCCAGAAGAGACCAAGGCCATAGTGGCGTTCCAGTAATGGGGTTGACAAAGGATATCAGAACTGTAAAACTTTTAACATAGAAATAGTCCCTGATCAAAATCTGATATGGAGGCCTGTTCATTTCAGAGAGATAGTCCTTATGGTGCTCTGAGTAGAAGCTGTTTCTGTTTTCATTTCATTCAAGGTTTACTACTGGGGGTGGGAAGGAGAATTGCCAGACTCGCTATGGTAATTCTGAGTTTGGAAATGTGACATGCTATATAAGATTGCCAAATTTTATTCCTTCTTGTCTCAAAATTCTTGATACATTGCAGTATCAGATAAATTAAGGTAATCTAGTGAAATAATTCTCCCTAACAATATTATTCAAATCCTTTTGGTGTTAATGCAGCCAATAATCTATTGGGCACTGTAAATGCTTTACCATTTCTTTGTTTCTAAGCCTATAAATCAAGGGGATTAACATGTATCTTCCCATATAGCATATTCACCAGGCTATCCTGGTCTGGATGATTGCTGGAGGAAGGTCTTAGGTATGGGAATATAGTGGCTCATCAGAATGGTGGCAATAATGTGAGTATAGGAACTCAAGGTGATTAGAAACCCCCACACACCAAATATACCATCAACGATGAGGACAACCATCTCAGCCACATAGATGGAAGCACAAGATAAGGCCAACAGTGTGGGGATGTCACTGTAGTATTGGTTGATTCCATTGAAGTTCTAGTAAGGTAGAGTGAAAGTCAAGGTTGTGCACAACAAGGAGTTGAGGAAGCCAGGGATCCACGCTCCTGCAGTCATCTGAAGGCAAAGCTTTCTGTTCATGATGACCATGTATCACAAAGGGTTGCATATGGCCACCTAGCAATCATAGGCCATGACAACCAAGAGGAAGAGTCCAGTCCCTACTAGAGCCATCAAGAAAATTGATTAAGAAACAGCTAGGCCTAACAAAATGGTTTCAGGTACCCTTTAAGACTCAGCAAAATGCTTAAAGTTAGAAATACAAATAGCTTACTAAAGGGTCTGTAATTGCAAACTCAGGGTCTGGTGAGTGGAAAAGAGGAAGCTGACCTCAACTATTACTCAAGGCTTGCTGACTACATGAAGCCAATAGCTGAAATACAGGATTCCTATGTGGGTGGGTTTGTTGCTAGGGGGTGCTATTTTCTTTTCCATATATACAAGATCATTGCATGTAATGGCATGTGGGAAAGAGCATGGGAGACAGGGCCAAGAAATGCCGCCTAGGGAATGGTCAGATAGAGACAGCATAGCCTGCAGCTGGATAATGGATGGGGCAAGAGGCTCAGAAGAGACCCTCCCTAGTTTCTCAAGCTGTAAAGGGGATGGCTGGGGAATTGTACTTTCAGTCTTGCAAGATTCTGTTAATGTAGCTTTAGAATAAAGAAGAATTAGCTCATCTAGACCAGCATTTGAGGTCACTGGGTTTCTAACTCTGCTGTAAGGAATGCTTTTCCCCAGGTCCAGGTTTGTCTTCTGGTATTAATTTATGAGATCCCCAGGATAAATCCTTGGGCTTCTGTCATGAGATCTTGTTAGAGAAAAAGTCCTCCAGTCTCTCTGGAGTTTTGGACCTCTAGGAGTCCAGTGGCTCTTTCAGAGCTGTTGATATTAGCTCCTGTAAACAGCCTATGTTATATCACATTTTTTTTTTCTTGAGGAAGGAATAACTGAAGATTCATCTAAGGCAGGGGAATCTTCAAGACCTTGGGTTACCAGTGAATATTACAGCATTTCCAGTGTCCCTTTAGAAGAAATATCTCATCTATACAAAAATCATCAGAAAACAATTCACAAAGTAAGATTGATACCTCATAATTTGCCAAGGTCACATTTGGTGGGTTGATTCTTTCTGGTGTGCAACTACATGAAAAGAAGTTTTATTTTTACATGATAATCTGAGGAACATTAAGAGAATTTTATAATCAGCAGTATAGTTATAAAAAGTGTTTAATTCAAGGGAAATCAATAAAAATGGAGCTAATTCTTACTGAATTCTTACAATGACCAGAATCTCTGAAATAATAAAGAAACAAAGACAATAAATAAACAAAGAGATGTCACATTGAAATCAAGTCGGTGCCCTAAACATAAGAGGGCCATATTTAAATTCTGAGCATTGAAAATTCTGACAAATCAATTCCGAAAAAAGAGAATGATTGTGTGATTCATTAAAATATAATCATACAGAAAATGTGTGGGACACTAAATTAAAATTGTAGTCTCCTATTTTCAAGAACTTGATCCAATCTACTACTTCTGAATAAACATGAGGGATGCAGGATATTAGTATATAATGTGAGAAGCCTATTTAATTGTTAATAACTGCTAAAATTTATTGATCAACTATGTGCGATCAAGTTGGTGTTGACTTTTAGCAACAACATAGATAAATTATTTGCCTGATGATCTGTCCTTAACCTGGTCCTTCAGGACTTCCATAGATGCACCTATTGCAACTGTAGCTGGATCCATATACTTTGCTGATGGCTGTCCTCTTCTTCTCTTTCCTTCTACCTTTCCCAGCAATAGAGATGTCTCCAAAGACCTAGATCTGAGCATAATATGTCCAAAGTAAAATAACTTGAGCCTGGTCATTTATGCCTCAAGTAAGAACTCTCAATTGACTTGTTCGGTGATCCACTTGTTTGTTTTTTTAGCTGTCAATTATATTTTCAGGAGTGTTCTATAAAACCAATGTTCAAAAGCTTCAATACTCTTTCCAGTCTGATTCTTCAAAGTTGAAATTGTTAAAAAGAGAAATTTAATTTCTTATTTCACATTCCTCTTGTGTTCTTAGGCTTCAGACTGGAAGATACCATGAAGAAAGAAAACCAGTCCTGTTTGACCGAGATTGTCCTGCTAGGTTTCTCAGATTTCAAAAGTTTACAAAAACTTTTATTTTGCCTGGTTCTAATATTCTACTTCATGGCCTTGATGGGAAACAGCCTGGTTTTGATCCTCACCATTGCCAGTCCCCACCTTCATAACCCTATGTATTTCTTTGTTTTGAACTTGTCCTTTTTGGAAATTGGCTATACCTCGTCCATCAGCCCAAAGATGCTAGTGAACTTATTATCAGAGAAACAGACTATATCCTTTTGGGGCTGTGGATTTCAAATGTGCTTCTTTGTTCTCTTTAGTGTCACTGAGTGTTGTCTTCTTTGTGTCATGGCGTATGACCGCTATGTTGCCATTTGCAAACCCTTGCAATACCCATATATCATGAACTACAGGGAATGTGCTAAGCTTGCTGCTGCCTCATGGGTCTTTGGGATTTCAATGGGTTTGGGACAATCTATTTCGATCTTCACCCTTCCTTTCTGTGGGTCGAATCGAGTTAGCCATTTCTTCTGTGATATTATGCCTGTTCTAAAACTGACTTCCACCAATACCTACAAAAATGAAGTGGCCAATGCCACACTAACTGTGGTATTTGTCCTGGTACCTCTTTTGCTCATCTTCTTTTCCTACGTCCTTATCATCTCTACTATTCTCATAATGCCATTGGCCAAGAACAGGCGCAAAGCATTTTCCACTTGTTCCTCACATCTCATTGTTGTTCTCCTGTACTATGGAACAATTGCTGCTACCTACATTCATCCCAACTCAGCAAATTCTGGGGACAATAACAGGTTCCTTGCCCTGCTTTACACAGTAGTGACTCCCAGCTTGAACCCCATCATTTACAGCTTGAGGAATAAAGAGATAAAAGCTGCTTTCAAGAAATCAGTACCAAAGAAATGGGTCTTTCTTAGGTGATAATCCAATTACATCAGTTGGTTTCATCTCTTCATGAGGTTGCAGTTGTCATGCACATATTTATGGGTAGAAATAACTCTAGAAGGTAACAGTGTCAGATTTTACCATTAACTTTGGAATAACACAAAGCTGGATATAGATTTATTCAAAAAAAATGTGGTTGTCCAACTGGTGCCATAGTGACCAGATAGATAAGCAAAATGACAACAAGAAGGAGAAGCAGATGGCTGTCATTGTCCAGTAGTGTGTATGTTAAGTAAACCAAAGGACTTAAGTAAATAAAAAAAGTGGTCATTTGAAACTGGAAATAATAGAAATGCAGCATCAAATTTTCTGTCTTGGAAAGACAGACCAATAGGCAGTTCTGATTTAAGAATACATTCATTCAAGAGACTTATTTCAAAGCACGTATTTGTTGAAAATGTCTGATTGAATAAATAGTCCTTCCTGGCTAAGATCCTTCTTTTAGGAACAAAATCCATCTTGTTGGACATATACTATTTCCTTGTCCATGGTTATAACTCTATTTGCAACAATGAGTGGATGGTCTTCCTTCCAGCTGGCATTGTTGAGAAGGGGAGACAAGGCAGCCTTTACTACATGGGAAATGAAGATGTCATCTTCTGTCCACAAGCCAGAAGGAAGGTAACTGAGACTGGCAATGGGGGCAAAAAACCCAAGCTGGGTTTAGTGTTCTGCAGGCCCAGGACATATAGGCAGGGATGGCATATAGGCAGGGGTCATGAACTTTGTAGTCCAAAACATCTCTAGTTCTCCAGATTGTACCATCCTGCTCTAAAGAATGCTTTGCCTCCAGTTCAGCCAGGAGTCTTCCCTTAACAATCAGTTATTTAAATCCTAGTATAATTCATAACGCTTCTGTCAAATAAATGGAGAAAATCGATCTCATCTTCTTACAATTTCATTTATTTCTTTGGCCAATTTATATGGCTGCCCATTTAACTGAGTAACGTGAGGTGGCTAAGACAATAAAAGAATTGTAGGCAACACCAATAAAAAAATAATTGAGCCTTCTTACAAGATAAAACACCCTCCTCCTTTATGGGCTTTACTAACGTACTGCCCCAGGGAGTGAGGGCAAAGCTAGCACTTCAGGAAGGCCAACGGGGTCATTGGCCATCATAGCGAGGCTGTTCCATAGGGCACAGTCATTCCACAGAAGTTACGCCTCTTGGTTTCCCACAAGGTATCATTGTTACACAGAAGGGACCCAGAGTATGCCTGTCCTGCTGGATCTGGTGAGACAGGTGCAAACTACTAGAGACAGTTGGTCTTGCAAATAACCCTGCCATGTGCCATGTAGAAATTTTAAGGTGACAACCAGCATTTGCATCTGAAGCCTGCTGGGAGCCAGGCTAGTTCACACAGCAATGGTTTTATGTGGGCATCCCTCAATGTACCAAAAAATTGCACATAGTGCCACATTCTGAACCAGCCACAGCTTCTGAAGGCTTTCAAGGGCAGTGCTGTGTAGAGTCCATTGCAGTAGTCCAAGTGGGAAATGCCTAAGGTATGAGTAATGATGAGCATCGCCTCCTAATCCAGCAATAGCCAGAGGTGGTGCACAAGAAGGATTTATGCACAGGCCATCTGGGCCATGGCTGCCACCTGTCATCTCCTTCTCAGGCAGAATCCCTGAGTCATATAGGCCACAGACACGTCGTCTCTCTGAAAAGTCTCATCTTGTAGCACTAAACTGATTTTAAAAGGGAAAAGCATGGTGTCAACAGATAGCAAAAGATCTCAGTCAATAACTTGCAGATAAGATTGGAGATAAGATTGAATTAAATCTCTTCTACAGTAGAAAATTCTCCAGCAGTCTACTTCCCAGAGAACGCTGGAAAATCTTTATTGTTTTTAATTTGGTCAATAATGATCATTTATTTGAACTTCATGGGAAAACAATAAAAATGTTTTTATTGTTGTGCGCCAGACATTATTTCAGCATGTTTGGTTAATCAGCTCCTTCCCCTATAGATGTTTGCCTAAAAGTTTGTTAATGGGATTTAACTGATTAACTATGGATAATGTTCTTATACAGATATTTATGATTATCTTGTTTTATGATGTGAGCACCTGGAATCTTGGCTAGAGAAAATAGCCTTTAAAATTTAGATTAATTCATGATATCAATAAATGTTTCTTATGCCAGGGTCCTCTCTGAACCA